AATCCTCCACCTGCGGTGCCAGCATCCCATATGGGTGCTGGTTCTAGTCCTGGCTGCTCCTCTTCCCATCAGGCTCTCTGCTATGGCCTGGGAAAGCAGTAGAGGATGGTCCAGGTGCTTGAGCCCCTGCACCTGTGTGGGAGATCTGGAAGAAGCACTTGGCTCCTGGTGCAGCTCCAGTTGTTGCAGCCATCTGGGGAGTGAGCCAACGGAGGGAAGACCTTTCTGTGTCTGCCTCTCACTGTCTGTAACTCTCTCTCTCAAATAGATAAATAAAATCTTTAAAAAAAAAAGAACTGAGCAAAAGTGAGATTCCTTTCACCAAAGGTCATTTGGATATTTATAACATCATGCGTGGGCCATACAAATTACCAAGTTAAAATTAGCCTGCTAAGGCGTTATTGAATTATGGAGTCCCATCTGTGGCTGCCATGGCAGGGCCAGACCCAGTGACTCCTGAAGATGAATATAAAATGTACAAATTCATAATTATGATGTAGGGATTCAGTATGATGTGACCAAAGCCATTTTGGACACATCTGTCCTCTTCCCCTTGCGGTAGCCCCGAGGGTCATTCCAAACCTTGTGAGATAAAGGAAGTCATTAAGATCTGCCAGACCTGCAGGTGGAATGTCCCCTGTCTAATCCTTGGAACAGTACTGTTGCTTGAGATGGTCCAGGTGCTGTTAGGTTAGCTGGGGACCCCCTTCCCATTGACTGAGGTTGTGTGGGTCCATTGTGTCATGGACACCACCACAGCCTACACTTCTGTGCTCTCAATAAATCACTTTCTATCTAATCTTGGATTTTTCTTCTTTGGTCTCTCAGCCCCTTTTCCCTGTGGCAGCTGGTTCTCATACACAGGGTTTTTCCTGAAACATAGGCATACTTGTAGACACACAGGATATATAGACCCAAATACAAAAATTGCAGAGATCAGTAAAGAGGTTAGACTGAGGGGGAGCAGGAGTAGGAGTTAGCCATACACAGTCACAACAGCATCCCAGCAAGTGAGGTGGTAGCATTTTTTGCCCCAGAAACCTTTGATTTAAGGTATATACACTTCATGCATTTCATAAATACAAATTTAGGAACATAGTGATTCTTCCCACCCTATCTGCTCTCCCACTCACACTCATTTATGGCATAGCTGGATATCAATAGACAGGAATGAGGTCACTTCATTTAGGGGCTCCCCTTAGAAGTTGTTCAATACAGTTCCATTAGCTGGCCACGTGCATTGCTCTATTCCCAAGAAGACATCCCAAGGGTCCCAAGAGCTCTTTTAAATTCTCAGTTAAAGAATAGCTGCAACACAGTAAACTCATAGACTGATAATCACTTTAAATAGCACTGTGACCTCAGATTCAGCTCTTATGGCTTTCTGGTCTGGCTGAAAAGCCCATGATAGCATTTCGGGCATGGAAAGCCAAGACACTATGGCAAAAAAAATGTCCTACAAGAAGGATCTCTGTGAGAGAGACCCAAGTGGAAAGAAGTGTCCATCAAAGAAGGATGTACTTTTTCTGAAGAGAGGAGAGAACCTCCACTTTGCTTATGGCCTTATCTAAACACTAACAGAGTTTGTATTCACAAAAGTCTTCCATAGCTTTGGTATCTCATGTCAAGACCCTCGGGTTATCACTGATGTCATACATAAGAGTGTTAATTGTTAAATCAACAACAGGAGTCACTATGCACTAACTCCCCATGCAGGACTTCTGTCCTCAATGAGTTGTATTATGAGAATTAACTGTAAAACCTGTTCTCAAACAGTTTGTGTGTGTGTGTGCGCGTGTGTGTGCAAATTGTTGAAATCTTTACTTAGTATAGAGTTGGTATTATGTGTATAAAGTTAATTGAAAATGAATATTTGGGGGGCCGGCGCTGTGGCTCAGTAGGTTAATCCTCAGCCTGCATTACTGGCATCCCATATGGGCACCAGTTCAAGTCTTGGCTGCTCTGCTTATTATCCAGCTCTCTGCTGTGGCCTGGGAAAGCAGTGGAGGACGGCCTGAGCGCTTGGGCCCCTGAACCCATGTGGGAGACAGGGAAGAAGCTCCTGGCTCCTGGCTCCTGGCTCCTGGCTTGAGATTCGCACAGCTTTGGCCATTGCGGCCATTTGGGGAGTGAGCCAGTGGATAGAAGACCTTTCTCTGTGTCTCTCCCTCTCATTGTTTGTAACTTTACCTCTCAAATAAACAAATAAAATCTTTAAAAAAGAAGAAAATGAATCTTAATGGAGGATGGGACTGGGAATGGGAGAAGGAAGAGGAATGTGGGAGGGAGGGCAGCTATGGTGGGAAGAATCACTACATTCCTCCTAAGTTGTACTTTCAAAATTTGTACTCATTAAATAAAATATTTTTGGGGAAAGAAAACTTAAAAAAAGGAGTGGCTGTATACGTGGAACTACTTTGAATGGAATGGTTTTAATCAGTAAGAAATGCAATGTTGGGGCACTATAGCATAGAAGATTAAGCTGCCACCTGCAGTGCTGGCCTCCCATATGGATGAGGATTCATGTCCCAACTGCTTCTGATGCAGCTCCCTGTTAATGTGCCTGGGAAAGCAGCATAGGATGGCCAAAGTGCTTAGGCCCCTGCACCCTCATGGGAAACCCTGAAGAAGCCCCTGGCTTAGCTAACCCTGGCCATTGTGGCCATTTGGGGAGTGAACTAGGAGATGGAAGACCCTCCTTCTGGCTCTCCCTTTCTCTCTCTGTAACTCTGCCTTTCATATAAATTAAAATACATCTTAAGAAAGGAAGGAAGGAAGGAAGGAAGGAAAGAAAGAGAGAAAGAAAGAAAGAAAGAAAGAAAGAAAGAAAGAAAGAAAGAAAGAAAGAAAATGCCCAGCAGAGCACAAAGGGTCCAAGAAACAGCCTCTGTGTTTGTTTATTTACTGATTGTACTCACCTGATGATGCTTGAAATACCTAGGTTAACACTCCTGCTCCATTAAGGTGAGGGATGGGGGATGTCCCATGTACTGGTGGCAAATAAGGCCCTGTCACAGTCTTATAAACACCTGACCTACTCTATGTTTATTGTCTGTCTCTTCCCTCTAAAATGTAATCTTCATGAAAAAAGGGATATTTGTCGGTTTTGTTCACTGCTATATTCTTGGAAGCTGGAACAATGCCTAGCACACAGTGAGCACTCAATAAACACCTGCTGAGTGAATGAATGGCCTCTCACCAATGCTCTTTCATTTTTTAAAATCATTTTAAAAATTTATTTATTTTTCTTTGAAAGGGAGAAAGAAAGAGATCATCTATTCCCTGGTTTAATCCCCAAATGTGTACAATAGTATAAGGGTTGGATCAGGCTGAAGCCAGGAGCCCAGAACTCCATCTTGGTCTCCCACACAGATTGCCCTTGCAACGGCTTGGGCTATCCTCTGCTGCTTTTCCAGGAACATTAGCAGGGAGCTGGATGAGAAAAGGAGCACTCCAATATGGATTATGGGAATTCCAAGTGGTGACCTAACTGCTGTGCCAAACACTCTTTTTCTAAATCTTTGGAATAGAGTGATGGATGGAGGCAGAAGAGTTGTATTCAAGGGTGCAGACAAAGGGACTTCCTTCCCAAAGGTTCTCCCACTATAGTTTTGCAGTTTGCTTGGTGATGAGTGGCTACTTGCAGGCTCTCTGTAAGAGCATGACAGTCCTAGCTGTTGCCATGGGACATACAGGTCCTCATGTAGGCAGAGTATACCTCACATACCCATACACCCCCTCACACATACACACACACATTACCCCATACACTCATCCATATACTCCCCTCACACACACACATATTACCCCTCCTCACATACCCATATCCCCCCTCACACACACACACCCACACACACATATTACCCCCATATATATCCATACGCCCATCACACACATATTACCCCCCCAAATACCCATATATCCCACTCTCACACACACACATTACCCCACACACATCCATATGCCCTCCCACACACATATACCCCACAAACAACCTTCACACACACATCCATAAGCTCCTCCCTCACACACACATATTACCCCCCACATACCCATATATCCCACTCACACACACACACACACACACACACATTACCCCACACACATCCATATGCCCTCCCACACAAATTATCCGCAAACATCCATACACCACCCACACAATACACCCCCCACACAACCTTCACACACACATCCATATGTGTGTGTGGGGGGGGAGCATATTACCCCCCTCACATACCCATGTATCCCACTCACACACACATACACACACATTATCCCCCAGACACATTCATACACCCCCACACAACTTACCCCCTCAAACATTCATATACTGTGACACACACACACATACACACACCCCACACAGAACCTTCACACACACACATGCCTACACCCCTCACACACACCCCCTCACACACACATGAATGCGTGCATTCACACATGCCTCAGCAGTACTCTGAGAGGGCTGGTGTGGTGATCCATGTCCCCTTCTTTTCTCTTGCTCACGAAAACCCTGCCTGGGAGGCTCCTTCAGACTTAAGACCCCCAGCCCACCCAGAGCCAATATGTGATGTGAAAAATATGAAGTCTTCAAAAAGTCCATGTAAATGTGTATTATAATAAAACTTTCAAAGACTTTTTGCACCAAGATAAACTTCTTTTTAATTAAATTTTTCTATGAGCTTTTCGAAGTTTTCCTGTAGATGCATTATAGTCCACTGAGATGCAAAGGTTGTTGCCATAGCAAAACTAAACATCAATCACTAAATATTTATAGGAATAAGAATTCAGGGGAGGTGGAAAAACTTAAAACACCAGCAAGGTATGAAAACTCATTAGAGAGGAAATAGACATGATGCCTCAAATTACAATTTCAGTAAATGGGAAAGCGATTCATTTATAAAAGTTCATTTGCATCAAATGCTCAGGAACCTACCTTTGACGTAAGTCAACATGTCTACACTTTGTTAGAGTACTTGAAGAATATCGGAAAATCAAACCTTGAAATGAATCGAAGAAGGTTACGATGCTGGGATGCTTCATCTTGGCCAGAAGAATGACTTCTTTCTTGGAAGCTTCCTTTTCTTGGATGGGCATCTAAATGACATTCCAACACAGAAAAGTCCTGTAAAGAACTTACTTTCAAGAACATGTTTGCTTTGTTTGTTAGAAGATTTACTTATTTGTTTATTTGAAAGGCAGAGACAGAGGGACTGTCTAGTCACTGGTTCACCCCCCAAATGCCCTCAGCATCCAGAGCTACACAGGCTGAAGCCAGGAGCTAGGAATCCTATCAGGGACCCCCATTAGGTGGCAGGGACCCCAAGTACTTGAGCCATCCAGAATGCTCATTAGCAGGAAGCTGAAATAGGGAGCAGAGCCAGGACTTAAACCCAGGCCCTCCAATATGGGATGTGGGGCGCCCCAAGTGACCACTTAACTGCTCCACCAAACACCCACCTCTTTTTTTTCTTTTTAAAATAAGATCCTTGGTCTCTGCATAGACATCAGACTTGTGAGGTGAGTGCATGCAAATCAACTGAGGTTAAAATTCATAATTTAATTTAAATTCAAGATTCATAATTTAATATAATGTCAAGATTTATAATTGTAAAACAAAGTTTCCTTTTCATATTGAATTAAAAGCCTGCTGAAAAGTCATAGGCATTTGCACTTCTTTACCTTTCCAAAATAGATCTCCTTTATGACACATGGTTTGCTGTCTGATTTCCCTTTAGCCAAGTATGCTTTCCCAAAGGCACCTTCCCCGATGGCCTTAATCACATCGTATTTGTCCATGGTGGCCCGTGCACGGAGGTTCCTGCCATCAGAGCAATGGAATTTCATCGCAGGCTTCTCCTAATGGCTGACAAAGTCAGAAAACTGACGACCAACATGCAAAAAGCACTCCCTGTGCTGAAAGTTTCCTGCCACCCCCGCCAGGACAGAGCCGCGGGTCAGCCATCAAAGTGAGCGAACGCTCGGCCGGCGGGCTCTAAGGGCAGGCTCAGGCGCTGTGGTTCAGCTCAGACACTTCGGCGCTGCGATCTGGGGCGAGCCTCTTAACCTCGCAAAGCCTCACTCTCCCGATTTCAAAGACGGAAATAGCAGGACCCGTGAGCGTGTTCGTTCTCCAAATGAGAGACACAACACGCCAGTGCATGGCACCTCCAGAAAGCTAGAACATCACGCTCCTGTAGGTTTAGGGCCCAGTCTTTCTCAGTGGGGACGTACTGCCCCCTAGGGGGCATTTGGGATATTTATAGGGGCTCTGTTCTCACAGACTCAGACATATTTAGAAGAGGTTAGGGCCGCGGATGCTAAAATTCTGCCAGGCAAAGGACAGGCCCGCACAATAAAGGGTTATCCCGCAGCCCTACACTCACGTGCGTGGGGAAACCCGCTTACAATGACCTGCGGCTGGAATCGAACTACAGCACCAAACGAACCCAAAGCACTTTTCCCAGGATTCTAACACTGGATTTTTCTAGGAATGCAACTGCACGTAAATCAAGGCTTGACCGCACTTGGGGTTTTCTGTCACGATGGGTGGCTGCCCAGGCGCGGCCACCGAGCTGCTTCGCGCTTCCTCCACGGTGGCGGGGCTAAGCATTTACTGACTGAAACGCTTTTTCGTAACCAGTTGCTTTCCTTCTATATCCCTGTAGGCTACGTACTGCGAGTGCAGCGTGCAGGTTTTTAAAAAACTGGTGAGCCGGCAGGTTGTTTCCCAATAACTTCATGACTGCACAGGAAGGAGGGACGACTGGGTGGCCTGGGGAGGCTGTGACCACCTCAGGGCCTGGTTCCGAGGGCGGCATCGGGCCTCTCGGTGACCAGCTGGGGGCTGACCGCCCGTGATTCAAACGCCCGGACTTAAGGAAAATCCTTTCTTTTAGGGCCGGCCCGGAGTCGTCCCGGGGTGCGCGGCCCAGCTCGTGCACTGGCCCCGGAGCCCAGCGCGCCGCGCGTTGCCATGGAGACCGAGGCAGCCCGGGACGCCGGCTGCTCCTCCGCGCTCCCAGTCTTTCCTCCCGAGACTCTGTTTCTTTCCTCAGAACCCGGGTCAGTTCCGGGTAAGAACTAAGGGCCGCCCGCCCGCAGCATACCTGCTTCGCCGGCTTCGTGGGGCCAGCGAGACCTCCGGGAGGATCCGGGATCCCCGGCTGCCGCGCCTCCCTGCGTGCCGGGGTGGAGCCGCAGGAGGAACGGGCGGGCCGCGGGTGTGGGCGGTGAGGACCGGTCCACGCCCCGCCCTGAAAAGGGGTCAGAGGCCAGCAAACTTGGACCTCCGACCGAATCCCCCGACTCGCGTGGCCTTCGGTCGGGACCTCTCCGCAGAGCAGTCTGCGAGAACGCGCCCCAGCTCCCCTTCAGGGCGCAGCGGACTTGGCAAGCGTTAGCTGTGCTGCACCCCTGCAAGGCAGAGGGCGCCCGTTGGGAAACCAGCCACAGGGAGCCAAGGCCTCGGACCCTGCGGCCAGGCGCCTCCAACAGGGGCCTCCGCAAACGCATCCCCTATTTGCGTATCAAGTTTTGTTGTGTGTTTCAGCTGGGAGCATGTGATTTTCAGCAATTGTAACTATTGACAAAACGAAAGCATATCCAGTAGACTCCAATACCCAGGCTACTCGATCCCACCATCCACCACCAAAAACCCCAAGAATCAAAAAGTTGACATTCTCACTTTTTCTCCTTAAAAATCAAAGCTCTATACCACTTTCCTAAAACTTTATCTCAAAATAATCTTTACGCTTTAAGTCTTATTATTTGTCCTATCACACTACTCTGAAAGAATATAAGTGGAAATTAACATAAGTCTTGGTCATGGCAGAATAATTTCTTTTTCCTGGGTTGAATGATTAAATTATTTGTATACACTTTTCAAAGTAGAAATACTTATTTTCTATGTTAAGATTTTTTTTTTTTTTTTTTTTGACAAGCAGAGTGGACAGTGAGAGAGAGAGAGACAGAGAGAAAGGTTTTCCTTTGCCGTTGGTTCACCCTCCAATGGCCGCCGCGGCCGGCGTACCGCGCTGATTCGAAGCCAGGAGCCAGGTGCTTCTCCTGGTCTCCCATGGGGTGCAGGACCCAAGCACTTGGGCCATCCTCCACTGCACTCCCTGGCCACAGCAGAGAGCTGGCCTGGAAGAGGGGCAACTGGGACAGAATCCGGCGCCCCGACCGGGACTAGAACCCGTTGTGCCGGCGCTGCAGGCGGAGGATTAGCCTGTTGAGCCGCGGCGCTGGCCTTCTATGTTAAGATTTTTAGCGGCCGGCGCCGTGGCTCACCTGGTAAATCCTCCGCCTGCGGTGTGGGCATCCCATATAGTCGCCGGGTTCTATTCCCGGTTGCTCCTCTTCCAGTCCAGCTCTCTGCTGTGGCCCGGGAGGGCAGTGGAGGATGGCCCAAGTGCTTGGGCCCCTGCACCTGCATGGGAGACCAGGAGGAAGCACCCGGCCCTTGGCTTCGGATCAGCACAGTGCCGGCCCTAGCGGCAATTTGGGGGGTGAACCAACAAAAGGAAGACCTTTCTCTATCTGTCAAACAAAATAAAATAAATTAATTTTTAAAAGTGCTACTCTTTACAAGATGTGTCTATATCCGGTGTCAGCAGATCCTTGTTAATGATCCCACTGTGTTTTCCCTCAATCTTCCCTTCAACATTGCTCCCCGTATTGGCACAGGCTGATGCCAATCCCACCATTGCCCTGTGACGGGAGAGGCCTGTTTCTTCTCTCGTAAAATATTCCCTCAGTACGAGTATGAGATGAGGTAACACATGACAGGACCTAGCACAGGTGTGTCTTGGGGACATACCCATGTTGGGACACTCCTCTCCCACCATTTGAGCCCCCACACTCTCTAGCTTCCAGTACTTGCCATCTCCACCCATCGCCTTTGACCTTATTCCCATGCTCTCTTCTGAAAGATCTGGGGCTCACTTCACTCTTCCCATAGCCAACACTCTGACTTGGGCTCTGCACTGCTTCCTATGAAGGACTGTATTTAAGGACGGCCAGTAGTTGCTGAAAATGATTAAAAATGAACTTCAACCGACCCAAAACCTGCTCCTAATGAAAAAATGGGGACGGGGGGGTGCAGCATTGTGGCCTAGTGGGTTAAGACGCTGCCTGTGATGCCAGCATTGCATAGGGGTGCTGATTTGAGTCCTGGCTGCTCCACTTCTGCTCCAGCTCCCTGCTAATGTGCCTGGGAAAGCAGTAGAATTTGGCCCAAGTGCTTGGCCCCTGTTCCCACATAGGAGACCTGGAAGAAGCTTGGGGCTCCTGGCTTTGGCCTGGCCCAGCCCTGGGGAGTGAACCACCAGATGGAAGAGCTCACTGTCGACATATCCCTCTCTCTGCATCTCTGCCTTTCAAATAAATACATTTTTAATTAAATGCACACATTATTATAATTAAATATATTTAGATCCTCAAACCTTTAGGAAATACAGGAAGAGTTACATAGTCAACAACACAGACCATAACACCATGAATAATAATACAAATGCTGCTGTATGATCTACAGGTCGGCACCCCTAGGAGGTAGGCCTTATTATGCTCATTTTATAGTTGATGAAATCAGGGTACAAAGAGGTTTAGTAATTTCCCAAATCGCACAACTAGTGAATGGTGCAGCTGGCATCTGATTTCTGTTCTACTAGACATCAAAGCACCAGGCTCCTACCCATTCTGCTGTACCTTCTCCTCCGAGTTCAAAGATTAATAGAAGTTCTAGATTATTTTTAATTCTGTGATATTAGGAATTATTTTAAATATTAACAGTTTCTCCCTTCATTCTGCCTTCAAATATATGTCCTAAGTACCAATTATTATTACATCCTACAAACTAATTATTACTCTAGTAAGAATTCCTCATTTGCAGCGTCTCCTCCGTGTGACTTGGGAGCATCCCCTCCGGCCTGGTCCATCAGACACTCCCGGCCATCCAGCCACTTCTTCAGTTCTGACACCCAGTCGGCATTGTCACCATCTTCCTCAAAGTCCCTGCAGGAAAACAGTTTGTATGATAAGCCCATTTGTGGATGGAGTTCAAGCAGAATGCTGCCATGACAATATTTACGTGTTTGAAAAATTGGTTCCATAAGACAACTGAACACAGAGAAAACCCGTCCTTCCTAAAGGACATTTTTTATAGCATATTTAAAAATAGTAAGTCCGAGCTGAAATAATATATGGGAAAGGTTCAGCCAGGATTTCTACAATTATATCGAAATTCACTACCCTTCCCAGACAAAAGGCAAGATAGAAATATTCACTCATGAAGAACAGTAAAATAACAGGCCCCACGAAGCCTGAAATTAAGGTCTCATTAAGTTGCACACCCACACCCTTCTAAAGCTTTCTAGGAATATCACAACGTGCATGTCCTCCTCGTCCAGCCCAGGTTCCAGTCTCTCAGGATTGAAAATGACACAATCATGACCTCCGTCCACACTGTCTGCTGCTTCTGTTTCTTTAGACAGGGGGCCTTTCAAGAACCCTTCTGAATCTTCAGGGAAATCATAGGAAAAAATTCCAATTTAAACAATTTAGGGCTGGCGCCGTGGCTCACTAGGCTAATCCTCCGCCTTGCAGCGCCAGCACACCGGGTTCTAGTCCCGGTCGGGGCGCTGGATTCTGTCCCGGTTGCCCCTCTTCCAGGCCAGCTCTCTGCTGTGGTCAGGGAGTGCAGTGGAGGACGGCCCAAGTACTTGGGCCCTGCACTCCATGGGAGACCAGGATAAGTACCTGGCACCTGCCATCGGATCAGCGTGGTGCGCCGGCTGCAGCGCGCCGGCCGCGCTGGCCATTGGAGGGTGAACCAACGGCAAAGGAAGACCTTTCTGTCTCTCTTTCTCACTGTCCACTCTGCCTGTCAAAAATAAAAATAAATAAAAAAAAAATAAACTTAAAAAAAAAAACCAATTCAAGTAGCATTTACCCAGCATGCTTTTTGGCATATAATAGGTTCAAAGCATCAGTGCATGGATTAAATAAAAGAATTATTGTGGCAAGCATTGTGGTGCAGCAGGTTAAATCGCCACTTGGGACCCCCTTACCCCACACTGGAGGGCCTGTTCAATTCTCAGTGGCTCCATTTCTGATCCATCCTCCTACTAATACACAACCTGAGAGGCAAGAGATGATGGTTCTGTACTGGCACCTTGTCCCCCACATGGGAGACCTGAATGAAACTCCAGGCTCTTGGTTTTAGCCTGGGCCAGATTTGGCTGTTGTGAGCATTTGGGGGATGAACAAGCAGATGGAGGATGAATCTCACTCTTGCTCTCTTTCTGCTTTTCAAGCAGATCAAAATAAATATTTCTGGTGTTGTGATGTAGTAGGTTAAGCCTCCACCTTCTGCACTGGCATCCTATATGGGTACGGCTTCACATCCTGGCTGCTCCTCTTCTGATTCAGCACTCTGCTGATGGCCTGGGAAGGCAGTGGAAGATGGCCCGAGTGCTTGGGCCCCTGCACCTGTGTGGGAAACCTGGAAGAAGATCCTGGTTTTGTCCATTGTAACCGTTTGGGGAGTGAACCAGAGGATGGAAGATCTTTCCCTGTCTTTCCCTCTCTTTGTCTATAACTCTACCTCTCAAATAAATAAAAAAATATTTTTAAAAAAGACATTTGCAACAAAATGAATACAACTGGAAACCATTATACATAGTGAAATAAGCCAGTCACAAAAAGACAAATACCATATGGTCTCTCTGATCTGTGGTAACTAATGGAGTACTTAAAGGTAATCTATAGGAGTGAAACTGACACCTTGAGATGCGATGATTTTTAACAGCTCTTGACTGTCAAGGAACAATGTTATTCTTGTTTGTTTGTTTCTGTTCTTTTTTGTTCATACTATTGAGGGAATTCTCTACTTAATGTAGGGTTAATCTTACGAATAAAAAAGTAACTGAAAACTGACTTTTGTAAAAAAAAAAAAAGAAAGAAAAGAATGGGAAAGGGAGAGTAAGGAGGAAGAAGGGGGGGGGAG